AAAAAAAAAAAAAAAAAAAACGCTGTATGACCAAATTACCTCAAAAAAAATACGATTATGATCACTTGTAATTCAGTTTTCCATCACCCCCAAGATTCCGAAGATCGCAATGCCCATTAATATTTTCAAGAGGGAGGGGGGGGGTTCTGAGTTTCTACTAAACTTCTGTCCTCCGCATAATGAATTTGCATAGCTGCTGAAATGTTCATATTTGGGCAATTCCTTCCATAGAACTGCTTTGTGAATAAAAATAACCTTACCTAAGCGAAATGCAGCATCCCGGTTGACCCTGGAATTGCAGATGGCAAGGTGTGAAGGAGTTCAGGAGGAAAGAACAGTATAGATTAGAGAAAGCAAGCCCCAATTTTCCCCATTGAAAACACAGCGGTTCACTTCAAGTCCCTCGGTTTTTCTCACTGAAACCAGGGTGATTCGTCGGAAAAAAACCCATATTTTTTGAAAGAAAAAAAGGGCAAGATATTCCCAGCTGCATCATAAATAATCCACCAAAAACTGGTTTAAATAAATAATGAAGTAAGCAAGAAAAGTTGTATCAAAAGCTGGCAGTTTTTTTTTTTTTTTTGGATTTAACAAGTCAGCTTCGGAAAACGGGAACTTATCCTGCTTTCCAATTCGTAAAATTTGCATTTTTCCCATCTTTTGAAGTCAATTTAGTGGAATGGAATAGGAAGGTTCGACTTAAATATCCCATGTCAAATCTGCTAATGTACGTAACTTGTGGGACTAATATTCGACTTTTTACTGAGTCCTACTTCTAATTTTCCCCTTTTATAATTCATCAAATTTTTGCCATATTCAAGCAATACTTTGGCCTGTTTTGGACATATATCTTTTAACCTTAAATTAGACATATGGCTACTAATTACCCACTGTTTTCACATCGTCTGCAAAATTTTTATTTCGGCATGCCAACTCCTGCGCAAACTTCACTGCCTGCTTTAACTTGTTCCATAGCGTCCGCATATTGAGGCTTACTCTCCAGCGTCATCTTATAATCCTCAAGCACCTGCAATGAACTACGATTAATAAGTAAAAGGCAGTATGGGCCGCAGCAGCCCTATAAGCAAAAGAAAAAGGCCAAAGAGTTCAGGGACAGGAACAACGGCCAATTCAGTAAAGGGTAAAGACCAGTAAGCCCTATAAGGAGACTATGAATAGCCCATCGAAGGACAATAACCCATGCTTCAAAAATCGTTTTTTTTTTCGCATTTTGCGAAAGAACAGCCGAAAAGCGGTTCAACGAAATAAGCGTAGCTCTAAGAAACAAAACATTCCAAAAATTTGGGCTGACAAACAAAAATGCAAGAACTTCGATACAGTGGTGAATTTTTAATGGAAGAAACAAAAAAATAAGTGGCGGAACCTTTTTCAGATCGTCCAGTGATTTGGCGAGACGTCGAGAGCAATTCGGGATCATCTGTTGCGTATCCTGAAAACTCACATTCAAAGGTGCACCTCTAGGCGAAACACGCCAATGAAATAGTAGAGTATAAAAGGATTGGACTTGAGTGTCATGTGTGAGGAGAGGACATTTTATGCGATGCAGTCTGTCTGTCTGTGTTTCATCCCTTAGCTGTAAACATACACTGACCGATTATGCAATGCTTTACGCATGTAATAAACTCAGCTCAATGCGGCTAAAATGCAGCAGTATGGGAAAACTGCTTGCCGAAAAGCCTTAACTCGACTGTGTGGGGGTGATTTTTATCACTGGGTGCCTAATTTGTCTCAGGCTCAACCAATCACATCAGAAATAAATACGATTTTCAACAGAAGAAAGAGTGGATGTAAACTTGCAGTAATCGGATTAGCGATGTTAAATCCATTAAATTTATAAGTATTTTTTTTATAAATGTACAGAAAAAACAAAACAACCTCAACAATTTCGGCTTGTTTTTTGATGGCATAACGGTCGGTGGTGTCTCCCTGCGCTTTCATTGCTTCCAGTTTCATCGATTCTTTCTCGGCTTCCTTCTGGTAGGAATTGAGCTCTTTGATCAGGCGCTTCACAACGCCCGTTTTAATCGTCAACTCTTTCAACGCTCCAGCACAGTCCGCCATTCCCTTCTAAAACATGTATTTTTATGGAAGAGAGATAGAGAAAAAAAGAAACAATATTTTGTATAAAAATGAAAAGTTTCACCAAATTCGACGCGCATCATGTCACTTTTCCACATATCATTATCGCAGTCGTACAAAAGGAACATGGACCAGGAAAGCTAGAAGGCTGAAATTTTAGACCAGGAAAGCTAGGAGGCACATTCTCGCCCC